ACCACTGGCCAGGTGTGTGACTCTGGTGATGGTGTCTCTCACATGGTCCCCGTCTATGAAGGTTTCGCTCTCCCTCATGCCATCCTTCGTCTTGACCTGGCTGGTCGTGACCTGACCAACTACCTCATGAAGATCATGACTGAGCGTGGCTACTCCTTCACTACTACTGCTGAGCGTGAGATCGTCCGTGACATCAAGGAGAAGCTTTGCTACATCGCTCTGGACTTCGATAATGAAATGAACGTGGCTTCTGCTTCCTCCTCCTTGGATAAGTCCTACGAACTTCCCGACGGTCAGGTCATCACCATAGGCAACGAGCGTTTCCGTGCTCCTGAGGCTCTCTTCCAGCCTTCCTTCCTGGGTATGGAATCTGCAGGTCTCCACGAGACAGTCTACAACTCCATCATGAGGTGCGACATTGATATCAGGAAGGACCTGTTCGCCAACATTGTCATGTCTGGTGGTACCACCATGTACCCTGGTATTGCTGACCGCATGCAGAAAGAGATTACGTCCCTGGCTCCTTCCACCCTGAAAATCAAGATCATTGCTCCTCCCGAGCGTAAGTACTCCGTCTGGATCGGTGGCTCCATCCTGGCCTCTCTGTCCACCTTCCAGGCCATGTGGATCACTAAGGAGGAGTACGACGAGTCCGGCCCCGGCATTGTCCACCGCAAGTGCTTCTAAATGAAGTACCAATTATATGCCGTCTATTGTTATGCTGTTTTAAGGCATCGTTGAATAGACTTGCTAATACATCATGTCGTTTTAATAAATAATATATAAACTCTTGGCTTTTCTTTTACAACGGAAAGTTAATATTCAAATGATGATTGCATTAAGTAAATGTAACACATGTGCACAGATATATTACCCTCACAGCAGCAATACAACACACACACAAACACACACACACACATATACACACACACAAAATATAATCAGTGGTTATAAAGAGAAACAACAGTTACTCACGAGAACAAAATCTACACTACAATTATTAAACGCATACACCTACACCAAAACCAAACATAAGAGCACTATTCACACAACATATCAGTCTATGCTCAATTATATCCTGAGTGAGAGGTTCATTCACAAATATTGAATTATCACTTCACTATACAGTACATTACCTCGTCTCAGCTCAGCACTAAACACTGTCAATCCTCAGGTAAGTTTCGCAGGTCACTGGATTATGTGATTGAATGAGCTCTGTCAGTTTGTGTTTATTTATAACGAATTTTTGGCGGGCTTTTTTTACCTTCATCACAAAAACTGTAGTATTTTTATGATTCAAGTTTCTTAGAAATCTCTTTTTTTTTTACATAAATTCAAGAAACATAAATATTTTTTTTAAATCATCCTGCTTTAATTTGCATTTGTTTATTTCTCACTATATAATTTTCTAAGGTTAAAACTGGACTTACATTACTTGAAGTCTGGTAAACCTTTAACGAGCACTTGGAAAACGTTTACCCATAACGTAATACTTTTGTGTCAACTAAGGGACCATTGCCAGGTCGTATCACGTTTTGAGAGTTTCGCTGTTGACGATGCCCACCACTAGATGTCCGTTACAGTCAATCTTGTTTTGGTATCAATATATACCATATCATGTTCTAGTCTTTTAGGTCTAAGGGCTTAGTTTATACAATGTTGAAATTCCTTTGTAGCTCTCGACTAAGTAAATTATTTGAGAGTAAAATGGTTGGTATAAGAATTTTAATGGAACACACTTAAAGAGTGATAAACAAAATCGGTTACTAGGTGTTGCGATAATCAAAATTCTTCTTAATCTGGGCAATTTTTAACATCAAGACACCCAAAAGTTGAATGCTTTATTATATGCCATTCAAAGATAAATATATATGTAACGTAAAAATTACATGTGTTGCCCTTGAGGAGTACCCAACAATGCTGACTCAGGCTTCCCTCAACCTCAAGGTCAACCGTGAGATGACCCAGATCATGTTCGAAGCCTTTAATTTACCATTGTTTGATCATTAATACGTACTTAGGTTTCCTTTGTCTGTACATAGTTCTTTCTTTTTTATAGATTGTTCTGATGGTGGTTGCTGTGACAATCAAATCGTTAGCAAACAAATATTATAAGTGTCAAGTAATTCATCTTTTTCCTAGCCACGATATTACTACAGATTACACACACACACACACACACTGTACTCGTATACTATGTGTGTGTGTGTGTGTGTGTGTGTGTGTGTGTGTGTGTGTGTATGTAGGGGGGGGGGGTTCTCCACGTGCTTTTAAGTACATGATACTATTCTTCCATAAATCTGTCTTATGTTTCAAGTAACTTCACTCATCTAAGGCTCGATAATTGATACATCAGGTTTTATTATAAGTTCCTGGAAAATTTCTGCAATATTTTTTTTTCAATAACAAACAGATTTACTTATTTCTTAAAGGCTATGGAAAAGAAGAAGTGCAAATGAGAATAAATATGAATTGTTTTTTCTGGGAAAAGAAATACATGTGAAATGAATGTTTTAATTAAAATTTTGAAGAAAAGCAAATATTGAATATAATGCAGATATAACACAGGTCAGTTAAAGATTATAATAATGTTTACATGAAATGCCAACGATTACAAAGCTGACCACATTTACACCTTAAATATCTTAATTTTCTTCAACTTTGATATCTAAATAGGCTCCTCCTTTCAGAAACATTTACGGTGGACAATGCTGGGGCCGGACTCGCCGTACTCCTCCTTGGAGATCCACATGGCCTGGAAGGTGGACAGAGACGCCAGGATGGAGCCACCAATCCAGACGGAGTACTTACGCTCGGGAGGAGCAATGATCTTGATCTTGATGGTGGAGGGAGCCAGAGCAGTGATTTCCTTTTGCATGCGGTCAGCAATACCAGGGTACATAGTAGTACCACCAGACAGCAAAATGTTCGCAAACAAGTCTTTTCTGATGTCGATGTCACATTTCATGATGCTGTTGTACACAGTCTCGTGAACGCCTGCCGACTCCATACCCAGGAAGGAGGGCTCGAAGAGCGCTTCAGGAGCACGGAAACGTTCATTTCCGATAGTGATGATCTGACCGTCGGGAAGTTCATAGGACTTGTCACTGGAGGAAGAAGCTGAAGCAACATTCATCTCATTTTCGTAGTCAAGGGCGATGTAGCAAAGCTTCTCCTTGATATCTCGCACAATCTCTCGCTCAGCGGTGGTGGTGAAAGAATAACCACGTTCTGTCATGATCTTAGTTAAATAATTAGTTAGGTCACGACCAGCAAGATCAAGACGAAGGATAGCATGAGGTAGAGCGAAACCTTCATAGACGGGGACCACATGTGACACCCCATCACCCGAGTCACAAACCTGGCCAGTGGTACGACCAGAGGCGTACAAGGACAGCACGGCCTGGATTGTCACGTACATGGCAGGTAAGTTAAAAGACTCGAACATGATCTGTGTCATCTTCTCACGGTTGGCCTTGGGGTTAAGGGAAGTCTCAGTCAGCATTGTGGGACACTCCTCAGGGGCGATACGGAGCTCATTGTAGAAGGTGTGGTACCATATATTCTCCATGTCATCCCAGTTGGTGATGATGCCGTGCTCGATGGGGTACTTGAGAGTGAGGATACCTCGCTTGGCTTGGGCCTCGTCACCGACGTAGATGTCCTTCTGACCCATACCGACCATCACACCCTGGTGACGGGCGCGGCCGACGATGGAAGGGAATACAGCACGGGGAGCGTCGTCGCCGGCGAAGCCAGCCTTGACCATGCCGGAGCCATTGTCGCAAACCAGGGTACATCCTTCGTCGTCGTCACACATGATGGTAGTCTAGCACGAGTATTTGGAACTGTAAGTGTAACGAAAATACAATGAATCAGTAAAGAAGAACCTGATTATTCAAGGAAATCTTCATAAATATATTCATGCCTATTAACTGACCTTTTCTTTGTATATATGTAGGCTAGATGATGATATAAGTGAACACGTCATCTTCGCTACCATGCAAGTTACTGCAATGCTGCAATACTTGAAAAAAATGAGAGATAAAATTTCTTAACCACAATGCGTTCAAATTTTACCAATAACTACTTATGTTGCGAGGAAGCGGCAACCGAGAGTGTACAGCACTCGCTTCCTGTCATAAGGGTCGACGGTTTGCACCCAAGGTACCCCCAGTTCACCTAGATACGAATGAATACCGAACTATACACTTGGGGAAGTAAAGACAGTCAGTTGCAGAGATGGCTCCACGGCTTCATTGTGTACTGAGGTTTTAGATTGTAATGTGCTGTATTTTCTCTGCCCCTAACTGGCCGTCTGGCGTGTGGAGTCTTATTTCACTTTAATTATATTAGTGAAAGTCGAACGAAGATGTTCTATCATTAGTTATGGAAATACGACTCGGGGAAAAGTCTACTTTCTACTGTATATACATCAATAGAATCAACGCTTTTTTTTCATTCTTTATATCACCAAACAATATTTCATAATCACACTGTAGGTCCCTTAATTTCATTTCTTGATTAATTACAGATCTTTAATCCTCAGTGATACTAACCGGAAGCGGATACTGCAAAAAATGGCTGTAAACGTGTGGATAACTGAAGACACCGCTATAAAAGAGCCAATAACTTTAAACTGCAGGAATTAGGATGAATACTACAAAGCGGATATGACCAGAGGGACCACCAAGAAACCCGACATTACAAGTGAGTTCACAGAAAACATAAAGATCAAACCGAAAGATTAAGAAAGGATGTAACCTTGAAGGTCACTACAAATATATTAGTAACTGGTAATAGCTTTAAGAGACCTGCTGTACACACAACACTTCGTGACTCACTGTAATCGGGACGATCACTACTAAAGCCATTGTTGTGTCTATTATGACTGTAAAGTCTTTTGTAACAGAAATATTCCTGCGATCACTAAGAAAACACTGAATCGAAAAAAAAACACATTAAAATTCGATATTAGCTGAAAAATCGATTACATAATCTATTCGGAGTAAAACTGACTAAGGGGCTTTAATTCTTCTTACTTTTAACACTACAAACCAAATGACACTTGTAGAATATCCACCAATTTAATCCATTTTAGTCAAACTACTATGGAAATTAAGATTTCACTCTTAATCACTACCAGGAAGATTGAGGACTAACCTATACCACTTCTGAGTCGAGTCCTGACTGAAGGCATTTAATTCTTCCTTGCTCTTTTATATATGCCGGGAAAATCGTTCCCGACAAAAATAGGGTAACGTCAGGGTAGAAAAAAAAATCGAATACCGCAATAGACGAAGGAAGTGATCAGTCTGTCAAGCACTTGTTTCTGGTTCGTTGAGCAACAAGTAGCAGTGCCCACTAAAGCCAACTTGATCTGACTCTGTAGTTTTCCAAATATAAACAAAGAACATTTCTTACTTAAATGTTTGAATCAATTCAAAATACTAATTAATACTGACCCTACAGCTACATTTACTGGAATTTATGCGAAGTTATTGCATTACGAAGAGTTTCTATCGCCCCTTCGAATTTTTTTGAAAATAGGTTCTTAGTCGCAGAGATGCCCATTCGCTGAAAGGATTATTTAACAATCCTGCCATAAATTTCATTTAACTATTTAGAAATAAAAGTATAGATAATGGTAAAAAAAATAGAGGTATTTAAATTTTAAAGCGAAGAAATAGTATAAGATTATCACTTAAGGGCAGTGTGTCATAATAGGTACCGTCCGCTTGAATACACAGGAAAAAGAAATACATACTTAGTTCTATAAAGTTAAAATTACGTTGTAAATGACAATTTCTTCGAGTAATGAGCATTGTTAGGTCAATTCTCAGCCTTAACATAGAGGATACCATGAAGGTTAGGTAAGATAAACAATAAATACATAATAAGTGAGAAAATACTTGTTCACTTAGATGCTGCAGCTGCCAAGGTTACTTACACCGTTTAACAATAGTAATCAATTAAGGGAAAGTGGAAGGTTATGAGAGAAATGTGTTTAGCTTTCGGTAATTTTCCCATACTTAAACCTTCATAGGCGACTATATACACTGTATTTACTTTAGGTAAATATCATATCATATGGATACACCACACACACTTTAAAATTTAAGTAAATTAAAGCAATATTAATATGATTAAGGCGATTTTTTTTAAACTGGGACTTCCCTATCAATAGCTGAATTTTGTTTGCATCTTTTTAATTTCTGTATGTCCTGGTCGTTCTATCATTTGGTAGCCATATGTTTTGCTAATTTTCTGGTAAAGATTGAAAATCACTTTCGCTGTTTACTAGTCCATAAATCCTGTTAAGGATAAAGAAAGATGCCGCCACAGTTGTCGAGCCCTTCATATTACAAAATGATTTTCATAAAGATTTACTAGCATCCTTTATAAAAATAAAACTTAATATTTTTTTGAGAAAAAACCTGCTATGGCCATAAGAAATTTACCTATGCGCTGGAGACTAACTGGGGAAAAATCTTTACAACTCGTAACCTTTCTCAACTAACCGTCACTCTGACAGATAAATACAGGAAACTCTGATTCTTATATCACTGGTTTGGGCTCCACTGAAAGTAATGAAGCTTATTACTCAAGTGATAATTAATAACTTTATGGTTCAATAATAGAAAAACTCTTGGCAGGCATTAGGTATCTGAAACTCGAGCAGCATCTTCCCACCACAACCAGGAAAATAAGTTTATCTCTTGGTACGGTATTTCTAGAGGGCCTCTCCTGTAACCGGGAATTCTAAACCACACTATATAAAGGTGTCGACACTCAGAAAGAATTAGTCAGACCCAAAGAAGATTCAAAACCGGTAAATTTACACATCGTTGTGTACGTGTATGTGCGTTTTGTGTGAAGGTTTGTTAATAAAAATGTTAAAAGATATCACTAAACAGAGCATAGATATAATATTGATCTCCAGTATCTTAACTTTATGGTGGCATAAGGTAATAATAATAATAATAATAATAATAATAATAATAATAATAATAATAATAATAATAATAATAATAATAATAATGCTTTAAATGCGATTAAATGATATATATAATAACCTCGGATACATTCGATAAGAAACTTTATAATAACAAATACAGTCTTGTTAGATGAAAATTTTTAACATTTATTTCACTATGCCTTTCAAGCTCATCGGGTTTATTATCTCAAATAATATTCAACGACTTATTCTGCTTAAAAATTACAAGTGACATTTGTCTCGTCAACAGAGCACAAACATTAACCTAGATACCTTTCTTTATATACCACTGATACCTCTATATTGTATCTATAAATAATAATTATGCAAAACTCTCTTTTTACTGAGCTCGCTGAAGCTTACTAAATAAACCCTAAAAATATATCCCGAAACATGTTATCTTAAGCTGCTATTTACTTTCAGGTAGATTATTCCTACAGTAGGGTCAAGGCTGGCTTCGCCGGAGATGATGCTCCAGTTACCATGATTTCCCGACGGTCAAGTCATCACCATCGGCAACGAGCGTTTCCGTGCTCCTGAGGCTCTCTTCCAGCTCCATCATGAGGTGCGACATTGACATAAGGAAGGACCTGTTCGCCAATATTGTCGTGTCCGGTGGTACCACAATGTACACTGGTATTGCTGACCGCATGCAGAAGGAAATCACTGCTCTGGCTCCCTCCACCATCAAGATCAAGATCATTGCTCCTCCCGAGCGAAAGTACTCCGTATGGATCGGTGGCTCCATCCTGGCCTCTCTGTCCACCTTCCAGGCCATGTGGATCACCAAGGAGGAGTACGACGAGTCCGGCCCCGGCATTGTCCACCACAAATTCTTTTCGATTTTTACATATTTTGCTACGAATATGTCTTAACTATTTTTATTCATAAGGTGAGTAATTATGTCACTGTGAAAATATCAATAACGTTTCTATGGAAATATATCAGCAGTACATTTCAGTTTTCACAGGATGAATGATTAAATTTTGTGTAAACTTATTTTCGAAGTGTGTCAGACATTATATATATATTTATATATATATATATATATATATATATATATATATATATATATATATATATATATATATATATATATATATATATATATATATATATATATATATATATATATATATATATATATATATATATATATATATATATATATATATATATATATATATATATATATATATATATATATGATGCAATTGAGTCTCCTCGAGGGTAAGCGTGTAAAAAGGATGAATAACAGTACCAACGTATGGATAGAACAGCAACATTTATTTGGTAACGTTTCGACAAATCTTTCGTCATTATCAGACATAAAACATAAAATTAGTACAATAGCATCGAAGCAAATCAATATGACAAATAGAATGCGAAAGATTTATCACTAATTATAATGGAAGGAAAAACTGCATTGAATAACAAACCATTATTAACCTTAACTTCAATTTAACCACAGAGCAAAATTAACAAAAGTTTAAATCCTACAGGTGAATATACAAAGATAAACACATATATTACAACAATCAAGAGCAAAACATACCCATTAAAAACGGGTACTGGCTATATGTAACAGTTCCGTAACAATTCAGTAAATATAACACAATGGCCGAGAATGAAGTAAGTCTTTTCACGTGTGAGCCATTGGGCCCGACCAATTAAACAAGATACTTACCTGAAGCAGGAGATAACGAAGAACATTTATCGAAAGTCATCGGCTACCAACAGCTGCAACATATCCTTCGTTAGGAACTTCTTACCTTTGTTTCAATGTGAGTGCAGCGCGTCTTTTTTAATTTCAACTGTGTCATTATTTAAGCATGCTGTATGTGACCAGTAAGCCTTTACTTATCTCCTGTGTTATTCCTAGTGCGTATGTAACGTCACTGAAAGGCTTCAGTTATCATTGTTTCATCCCTGGTGCTGGAGTGAAGCCATCTGAGTGATAATTAGGTGCTGTTAACTCCTAGTGTGTGTTTCAGTGACGTTCTGCATCATTCTAAGAGATTGTAGTGGGCGTGATACTGTTCATCTTTATTTAAGTTTTCCCTCGACTGTATACTTTTGTGTGTGTATGATGGATTGTTTGTTAATTTAAACAGAGGAAGTTCTTAGTTTTCTCATGTCTATATGTGTTTTATGTAAGAATTAAACTGATATTGTGTGGTGAGTTGTACACTAATCCTAAGTAGCAGTTGTGTATTTTTATAAGGCTGAAATACTTGTATATACGCGAGAGTTGTCGTGTATGTATTAACAGCAGCGTGAAAATAAAGTTTCGAGTTGTATGTATGTATGTATGTATGTATGTATGTATGTATGTATGTATGTATGCTCAACTGCAATCTATGTGACACAATGTATAAAATCTATAGTATAACTCTCAATACAATTTATGTTAACTTAGATGGAAAAAGGGGGTATAATGACAGGTGTATTTTACCTATACTGTGTTTTACAAAGACCAAATATCCGTAGTAAATAGCTGTGGGGAAATAAATGTAAACAAAAACTACTACATCCGAGATTACAGAGCCGAAGGCGGTGACTATTATACAGTCTTTCAAGGATCTAATTATACACTGCACTGACCTGGAGCCAAAGAGGTACATGTTTATGCCATTTACACGTGATATTTGGAAACACGTGTGTGAAAGTGCAGTTTCTGTATGTTTATCCTGTTGTAAAAGATTCATTCTGTGGTCCCTGCACACACACACACACACACACATACACACACACACACACACACACACACACACACACACACACACACACACACAGAAAAAAGGCTGCATTTCCTATTTCTTTTTTAGTGGAATTAACCTGTAAGCAAAGAGAAGAATTAACTTCCCTTATCAGTAGTAAAGGACAAATTTGACTAGATAATACTTGCTTTACGATAAAATGAATCATATATAAACTTTTATCATCTTTATGGCACAGTCGCATTGCCAGTGACACTAACTTGGTTTATGACATATAGATCGTGAACATATTATGGGGACACTGAAATCTCAAGGTAGAGGAAGATGCCATACATGAAAACTAAAGCTGAGTGGGATATCAGTGTTATGATTTGAGTGATTTTATATAATTTCTTCTGTTATATTAAGAGAACTTTGATTACTTTTGATATATTGTATTTTGAAACAACAACAACAACGTTATGAGTAAATTTAAATTAAAAAAAAAGTCACTTAATATTTCTTTAATTGTAAATGTGATGAATAACATAACTAGCTGCCTTAAGATCCATTTTTCTTTTCATCACCATCTGATAATTTTCTTTTCTTTGTGGAGATGAAATTTCGGTAGTATCATTGTAATGTGGCACCACTTAAGGCGGCACTTTTTGTACCGTATATACATGAATCAGTTAGGTAAGTTCTTATGTCACCAGTTACGAATGTGTGTGTGTGTGTGTGTGTGTGTGTGTGAAGGGTTACACATTGAGCGCTCTAATTGTTTTTCGGGGAAACCGGGGATTCTATTGTTCGGATATATATAAACACGGAACCCTATTTAGCTTTAGAAATGTATCGTAGTGAGAGCGTGGATGTGTCGGGGAGGGAGCACAGAGGTGAAGTGGTTGAGAAGGCGTGTGTGTGACGTGCCCTGCCGAGATGCCCCGGTCTGGTTAGCTGGCGATGACCCAGGCCTCAGCTCAGTTTCCCGGAAGTGTTGCCCACAAAGACATAAACACCGAGAGAGTGAGATGAACACAGGCTGATGTGGGCGCCACCTGTGCTAGACCAACATAGAACCTTTGCCTGGGCAGCCAGTCTCTGGGTCTTGCGGTAATATTTCTCCCAGTGAGCGTCTTGTACACACTAACTGTCTGCCTAAGCCTACTGACTGAGATTTTCCACAGATTCTTGTTGTCTATTTATTGAAACCACTGAATCATTGATCTCTTTTGTTTTATATATGTCTTAATTTTAACATCTATATGTGTGCGTGTGTGTGTGTGTGTGTGTGTGTGTGTGTGTGTGTGTGTGTGTTTGCACACGCACACACACACACACACACACGAGGTGTGGCCAAAAATTGTTACACTTCATGGGTAAAGCATTATGGCATAGTTTCTTATTTTTTACAACGAAGTTCGATACCTGGATATTTTTTGCAATTACTGAACTTTAAGTTTTGTGATACACATATTCTTGTTTTAAAGTGAGAGCTTAAAATTTGACGTTTCAGTATGTCGTTAATTTTGGCAAAATAGAAGATTCCACTTCAAAGGCTATTCATTGACACAGTGGGATTGTATGACACAGTCGCCCTATTATATGCTACAGTAACAAGGATTAGGACGGCCTTTAGATGTCACCAACGAGGCAACAGTAGAGTGAATCGAAAGTTTAAGTAACACACCCGATGAAATAAGCAATAAAGTTAAAATTTTACATGGAAGTGTACTCTTAAGGGCGTCTAAGGCTTTTGTGGCATGATCTACTTGAAATAACACTGATTAGGATTTACACCAGAGGACGGCCTTAAGTCTAGAATTCCTTGAATTGTACAAAGCTAATACAGCCGACTTTCTTTCCTACCTGGTTACGGGAGATGAGGTCTAGGTAATAATAGGGATTCTGAGTAAAATATGGAATCCAACCTCCATGAAGTTCAGAAGCCAGCTCTCTGGTCTCAACTTTTGGAACACAAGAGGGTTTCTGATGACTGAATAAAACTGCATAAAACAACGATCAAAGTTGAATATCATTTTGACTTAATATGTGGAACCTACAAGACGTCATCTAGGAGAAACGATAGGAAATGGTGACTGCTGGTGTGGTCCTGCTCTACAACAAAACATGAGACCACAAATACCATATTGCACAGATACCTATAGTCACAACGGTGGTTTGAAGCATCTTATTCACCCTTTCTAAGGTCTAAATCTGTCACCAAAAAGTATTATCTACTTCATAACCTTCTAGAGAGCTGCATCAAGAATGGTAAGGAGATGAAGGAAGTTACTGATGTGATGGTTTGATTTGAGGAGCAGTCAGAAAACTTTTATAAAACGGGAAAAGTGAGTTTAAAATCAAGTGGAATAAGTGTGTTGAAAGAGAATATGTGTTGCTGTTCTACCTCTATTAGTTTTACATCATCTGGCAAGGAACTTTATTTTACCAATCATATTTTTACACTCTCCTTTCCAAAATCCGTCCAGAAACTCTAAGCGTCTTTCATATCCACAGCAAACTTTCTATAATATCTGTTCTTACGCCACTGAAAGCTAATTCTTCTTCAGACACTCTCTTACAAATCCGTGCATTGTTTAATATAATGTAAGCATAATAAATCATTTTAGACCTGTATCGTCACCTTCTTCCTACAGTGTGTTACTCTATTCTGAATCTTCCATAATTCCTTGCATCTCTGAAAGCCTCGCGGTTAAATCATCAAATCTTTATTGTTATCTTCTTGTAGAGAGTTCGGTGTAAGCATAACATCAAAGTTTTACAGGATCCGGACACTATGCCTCGTCCTACTCGTTTCTGTGTAGTAAACGCTGGGCCGCGATCATTGAAAGTGTTTGTTTACATATTGATCATTCCTAGCTGACACACACGTACTGCACCTTCTTCTCACGGGCGATCTTCTGGTTGTGCCGGACTGTGTATTTTCTTGAACTAATGTTTTATTTATCAAAGAGCTCTCCAAATTCTGCGGTCATGGAACCCTAGAAATATCCGCATTAAAAAATACGAGTACAAAATCCCATTCCCGAACTAATCCACAAAATCTTATACTCTCTGTTTCTGTCACTCGCAGCATTTTCGTGGACAAGGGTTAAGTTAGCCATTACGGAGGAGTATTTCTAGATACGAACACTGTCCTCTGTATTTCTTGA